CAAAATCCAGAGCCTCCAAACTTCTCTCTCCGCCTCCTTCTCTCTCTCTCTCGTCCCTCTCATCCTTGTTCATCACATCATCAGACACTTTATCACACACCCACACACACACACACACACACGCACGCCATCTTACCACACACACACACACCTCCTCCCTCCCCTCCTTCTCACTACTCCGTCTCCCATGTGATGTTCATATACAATTGAAATTTGTAAAACTTATCATGTGGGGTTATCCGGTCCTTTTATTTCATGATTGACCGGTTTTCGGGCCGACTTCAAGAAGGTTTGTCGATCAATCATGCGAATGCCAAACTGGGAGGGCACCAACACATTGTGCTGGAAGCACGTCAGGAACCGGAACCCAGTGGTACTCATGGTCGACGATTTGCAACTGAAAACGGGCCTTGATGTCAAGATTCCCTGCTACTCAGACAGAACAGGGGCCACCAATGTGCCTCGAAGTCAAGATGTGCCGCAAACACCGGTAGAACACAAGCCCATCAGCACGTTGTGCACCAAATGTTGGAAGGGAAAGCCCAGGAACAACATGTTCTTGGCATGCGTTAATTGTGTGTTGAATGAGAGATCTGAGAGGAAGCCTTGCGACTTGCAGAAGAGCGCTTGGAACAACGTCGGGCAGAACCCCCAGAGGCAGAAACCGTCCCTACTAGTAGCGTCCTTGCTCCTGGCAGCGATGCCCTTTGTTACCAGTATCTTCTTGCTCCTAGTAGCAAGGCCAGGAGCCCCTAGTAGCGTCATTGCTCCTAGTAGCGTTTTATTACTTTCTTGGTGAGTTTTGCTGCGGAGAAAGCAACACTCATGTAACGTCGCTGGCTTTCGTTCAACATGCACGCTACGGCGTTTGGAGGCAGTTGCAGTGAAGATCCCCTTTGTCGTTGCCTGGGTTTGCCGCCGCTTAACCTTTTGCACGTTTCACAGCGTTTCCGAGGTCATATCTGACGAGGAATCCCCCGCATTGAAGGCCAGAGAAAGGGAACCAACTAGGGAGTTTGTTTGTGCTTGCTTGTTTTTATTTTGTTTGCTTCGCTTGTGGAAAACGAAACTGGTTTGTTGCATCCTTGCGTGGGCTGTGGGCCCCTTTGTAATGGCAATTCGATGGTTTTGTGGCGGGTGTATGAACTTTTACCCTAGAGCAAAGCCAACAGTTCTGAAAAGCTGTTCAATAGATGGGATGGCCACCCACAGTTACAGAGTAGCACAGCTAAGATGCTTGGATTGTATGATAATATGTTGTAGTGTATGTTATGTATACGTGGTTGACAACGGAAAGCACTGAGGCGGAACGTGCTGAGCTTCAAAGACTCCGTGACGAGGCAGGCAGCGTAGCAGGGTTGTTTCCACCATTTTTTGGGCGGCTCTCACTTTTACTGTGCATCCCGGCCGCTTCCTCCTCCTCCTCCTCCTCCTCCCGCCTCCCTCATTGCCTCACTCAATCTCACTTTCACTCACACTCACTCACTTAGCGTTTTGCCTCTCTCCACAGCTGCCAAGCAAGTTTCTATCAGGTTGCCACTCGCCCCATAGCCTTCACTAGTCACTAGGCGCATCGACACCTAGCGGACCTAGCTTGTCTCCCAATCCCGTCGATGTTTTCGTTGTTTCTTGTACTGGTTGGAGGCCATTGCTACTAGGTTGGAGGCCATGGCTATTAGGTTCACTCGGATGACGAACACAGCCAAGATTACCAGATATCTCCAGTGTAGGTGACAGGCACTTCAAATCCTTGATCACCGCTGGCATCCTCCATGGCAAGCTGCTTCTTCTACAGTTTCAGTATTTCACACATCGTTTAACTCGTTGTAGTGCTCCGGTTTCATCACCTTCACAAAGTTGCAGTGCTGCTTGAAGTCCACCTAGATTCTTTCGAACCCCATGACCAAGCAAAGTAGACCAACTCCATTTACCATTCCGCTTACAAGGCTATGCTGCTGCCCTTCACGAACTCGAGGAGCCCCTATGGCTGGGGTTGAGTCCATCCACAACCTCCAAGCCTGGCTGTCCTTCTCCTCCCCCGAAGTCCAGCGACCTCACCCACAGATCTACGCTCAGACGCAACAGAGTTCGGAAGTATCCGGACTTCAATGAATGCAGCACCCCATCTTCAGAGGGAGGTTCAACCTTTGCTGTACCGTTTCCTTTTCCTTGGTATCAAAAAGGGCCACATAGTCGAGTCATGCCTGCTGACTCATTGACACACCGACTCACACTCATTTATTCACTCATCACAATATATGTTAACGCTTTTACTTCACATCTCCAGTCATGATCTGCATACACTCATCCGCTATGATTCCTCTTCCTTCCGCTTTTGCCTTTGCCTGTTATAGACACAATAGTTGACATGTGCGGCTATCCAAGTGGCTATCCAGTCCTTGAATGTTTTTCTCTTTTTGCAGTAGCAAAGGACGCTACTAGGGGCTCCTGGCCTTACTACTAGGAGCAGGGACGCTTCTAGGAGCAAGAAGCTACTAAGCTTTGATTGAGCCGGCCAAGGTTGAAGCAACTGCCAGGGAGATGGAAGCAAGACAGCAAGCTGCCAAGTCTGGGAAGCCAAGACTGACACGCCAATTAGCACTACTTAGCATGAAGAACGTGATAAATGGAGCTAAATTAGATTCAATTAGTACACCACTCAGGTTTCATGCAGTGCTGAATAGTGCTGATAAATCCGCCCTTCACACTTAGCTACTTTCAACTCTGATAACTGATAACACTACCAAACAGAGGAAATACATGAAGCAAGGATCTCTAGCAACCAATCCAAATTTGCTTTGTGCAGACCTTGTCTTTTTCAGTGATTTGAATCGAATGTTGAGAGGAGAGGTTTGGTGTAGTGCAGGAATCATTTCACGCCTTAACTTTCACGGTTCATGATGTCTGAAACGCAATATCTTATTTTGGTTTTCACTATGCGGCTATAGGATGGCTGGCGACCTGGTTGCCCTGCAGCATGCAAAAAATGTATGACTGTTTCTTCAGTGAGATTGCTGGAGCATGCTGTAAATGCCGCTAAACCAAATTTCTCGGGGGAACGCATGTGCGACAGTGTGCCGATTCGGGTTAGCTGGATTGCATTTTTAGGTTTCTCAAATCAAACGGTTTGCAACTCAGCCATCACGCCATAGTGCCGCCAGTCATTTTTGCGTTGACCCTTTCGACGTGTGTTTGACGGAGGCACCCCTCAAAAAAACTAACGTATCAGACATGTTGTTGATGACAGATCTCCAGGCTCGTTGTAGTGCGTGCTGGAGTTCGCGAGAGAAAAGGATGAAAGAGGATAAAGAGGATGAACAATTAAACACATTTGGAAACATATAGAATGGAATAAGGAGGATAAAGAGGTCACAAAGAAGAGGTCACAAAGCTTTGAAGGCTTGAACTGGTTGGAAGGCCGAGGAAGAGCGAGGAACCTCCTAGAGTGCTATAAGAAGCGAGAAAAAGAGCATCCTTTTTTAATGTTCCTTTTGTTAAGGCCGCTTTGCCCCCTTACTACTACATTAAGTAGAGACTACCTACCTAGTTAGCTCCTGGGTAGGGCGCAGGTAGCTCACACTTGTACTGTTGATTTGGTTTCTAGAGAGGCGGAGCTTTAGCATTCTCTAGTAAAACTGTGCAATGCGAAGTTGCAAGACCAGTGGAGTGGCGGAGTAGCTAGCAAGGCAGCAAGCCAAAAACTTCGAAGAGCGGGAGTTGCAGCTTCTAGAGGAGGAGTCGGCGTACCGCGGTCAGAAGTGAGAACAACATCTAAATTAAAAGGCAGAAGGAAGCCGGAAGGAAGTTTGGACAAGTTCACTGAAAACGGTCAAACAGTTTTTTGTTCACGGAAGTGACATGAGTCGGCCATGACGAGTTCAGTTCGCCAGAACAGCTTCGTTAGGCAATTGCATGCTGCGTCCGCGCTCGCCCCTTACGATTTCAGCTAATGCATGTTGGCACGCAAATCATGTTTAATGTTTGCCTCGAGCTACTAGGAGCAAGAAGCTACTAGGAGCAAAGGGCATCGCTACTAGGAGCAAGGACGCTTCTAGGGGCTCCTGGCCTTACTACTAGGAGCGATCGGACGCTACTAGGAGCAAGGAGCAGGCACCATTTTCCGAACCTCAGGTTGAAGGAAGAAGAGGCCCGCTTGGAAATGCAACGACGCAGCCTTGGGATGCTGCAACAGGCGAAAACCTTTCTGGAACGGGAGCGGGAGCGGGCGGAGAAGTGACAGTAGCGAGCGATGACCTCCAACCTGCAAGCGATGGCCTCCCTACTAGCGATGGCCTCCAGTCTCTTGCCGAAACAATATGTGTTAACGTGTTCCATTGATTGCCCGTAAAGTCAGGTGCCACGCGTAGATAGGATTGCTGTGATCTCCATAGCGCTCTATTCTCGTCGTCGTCATAAGCATCATTCATATTCAGCGTTGTGATGACATGTCGTTGCACTTTCAATTACAATGGTAGTCGATGATCAATTAGTAATTTTTACCACCGAGGGTTACTCAAGGCAATTTGGGGGAGAGGCTCAACATGTCAGACTGCGCTTGAGCCTTTTGTTGGGGGAGGCTGGGGAGGGGACAATTTGAAGAGGGTAGCAGCGTCGCTCAGGCTCTTCTCAAAGGAGCCAGTGAGGCCAAAGGGCCTGCAACTGGCGTGACCACTGAGCAGTGAACTTACGAAAGTTAATGGAGCAGGTCCCTCTTGTGAGAGAACTCCAGGAAGACTGGTACGCGTTTTGCAGCTGGGGAGTGGTGTTGGACGTGAGGCACTCGCTTGATGACGAGACATTTAACCAGCACGAAGAGACCGCAGCAGGCTGGACGGGATGGTTTCAGTACAAGTAGTTCCCGGGCAAGCCGGCGGCGGAAGTTTCCTATAAGAACAATCTGACGTATAGGAGTGTCCCGGTTCTTTCCACCATGCGTGTCCCTCGTGTCCCTCAGTCAGACGCATGAGTGATGAGTGATGAGTAAAGCATAGCTCTAGCTCTAGCTCCACAAAGCTAACTGGAGCTAGACGTTAACTATGATGTGATAGCTGGTCTAGACACGAAGCTAATTAGCTCAAATTTGTCGACCTGTCAAAATACGTGTTTTGAGGTCTTCAGAAAGTAATCGAAATGACCACTTTTGAGTAAGCAAAGTAGCTCAATTTTGTCAACCTCTCAAGAGAGCCGGGTGGCCGGGAGACATGACTCAGCTACAGGGGCGCCAGAGCAGCCGCGAGAGATGACTCAGCCGCGTACTAAAGTTGTACTACAAAGTCGCCAGTTCTCATCTTCCAGCTCCCCAGAT